TTTTATTGGCAATCACAAAATAAAATTGCAACTTAAAGTAATAATAATTTCAATAAATTCAAAGGATATTAAACCACACAATTATTAAACAAAATAACAAATGGCAGCTTTCTGTTACAAAATTATGTGAAAAAAATTCAATCCAACTCTGTAGACCAAGTGGGATATATGCTTAAGTATTTTTTATTTATTTTTTTTTTTTTAAAAAAAAGAAGAAAACAAAAGAATTTTTTTTTTTTTCCAACGAAAAATAACATTATATTATATACCTCAAGCAATTTACAAAAGAATTTAAAATGAGCTTTGTAATATCTAAAAATATAAAAATGACATAAATATTGAAAGAAAAACGTGAATGAAATACACAAGCAATGTTATAAAACCAGAGAGAAAAGAGATAAAATAGAGAAAATGTATTCTCTTAGGTACAATTTCCATTATAACTAAAGCTCCTATTTATAGGAAACTTTTGATGGCACAACCATAATAATACAATTACATCAGGGACAAAATAGTCATTCACATATATTATTTTATAATAAATATTTCACAACACTCCCCCTTGAATGACTATTTCTAAACATATTGTAACTGATTAGAACAAAGTCCAATTTGCATATCTTCAAGTATATCTTGTGGTCATCAGGTACCGTTGCTTCAGCATGTCAGGAAAACCCAATGGGACAAAACCTGATCATTGTGGAATCTCAACATTTCTCCTCAGGAAAACCCGATAAGACAAAACCTTATCATCTTGAAATTATAACATTGCTTCCTCAGAAAACCCGGTGGGACAAAACCTGAGCATTGTGGAAGCACAACATTGCTCCCCCTCAAATAGATCATCTTTAACGGAGTATCCACGTGCTGCCTCGTTAAAACCTTGTCAAGAAAATCCAGTGGGGAAAAACTTGATCGAAGGAAAAAGAGTACAACTACTCCAGTGTTTTCTCATCATAATGAGGAATCATATCAATTATTCAGTAGTCCTCATTATACCATGAATATGCCTCGTTAAAACCTTATTACGAAAAACCCAGTGGGACAAAATCCTAATGAAGGAAAAAGAGTACACTATTCATGTGAATACGCAATCCCTGTTGCCTCATTAAAAACCTTGCTAGAAAAACCCAATGGGACAAAACCTTAGCCAAGGGAAAAAGAGTACAACGCGTATTCCATATATTCACCATAATAACTTTTCCATAATTCTCATGATCATATAGATTCATTCAGATTTTCAGATACTGGTGGTATTTATGATAATATGCCATATCATGCTTTTGTGCAACTTTCATTCTTAAACTCATTCTTATCATCAATCGATTTCAATGGTCTTACTGCCAATAGTTCCCAATATTCATATTTAAGTTGATTTCATTCTCACCAATATCATTTATATAGCGCTATTCATTTGTTTGTGTCGACACTTATTCATTTCATTTTTCCCCGTAATATATTGAGATATCTCATTATCAATTAATTTCATCGATAGTATGTATGAGCCTCCTTTCATCACTTATTTGGGGAATTTCAATTTGAACAATACCAACGCTTCCAGCATATCTTTTCACCATCATATCATTTCATATATTTAACCACCATCAGTATCATTCAGTTTATGATTTGCACACTTTCAGTGTGATGCATATATCATTTCCAAAATTTCAATAATTGATTCTCCCACTCATATTAACAGATCCATGATCTGTATTTTCAGTATTGAGTTTCTTGAGGGGATTTCATTTAATCTCCATTTCGTTCTCGATTTCGACATATAATAGGAGGACTTTGAACTCATATCACTTGTAATGTGCACATTTTTCTTTCATGAGTTCATCATATGAGTTGATTATATTACTAGCTTCATCACTCCCATATGACACTTATTTTCATTCTTTCATAGCCATCTTGTGTCATTCTTTGATCAAACCATCTCGTAACTTTAGGTTACATGTCATATACACATTATTTGATCTCGTGTCATATACACATTCTTTGATCAAATCATTTCGTAACTTCAGGTTACAGTTCACACACATGTGGCTATCTAGTGGATCCATAATACCTAGTAGCACACATGGAGGGGTAGTGATCCCATATATATCATACCCCTTTCATACTCAGTTTGATCAAATATCGATTCACAAATATTTAGCTAGTAATAATTTCACCAATCGAGAACAAAGTATATCATATTACAAAGAATAAGTTAATCATGCTAACCATCATCATTTATATCAGTAAACATCACAATAATTCATCGTGACCTATTTATCAAAAATATATCACATCATCTTTCGGCGGCAATAAATGCCCTTTAAGTGCAGATTCTGACTCACAATATTTCAATTTAGAATCGTATCACATGCGTATCATTCCTTCTGTAGAACAAACTCTCTGTTTTTAGAGTCGTATAGCATATGCATCATTTCTATAAATTATCATGCAATTCATTCAATCTTTCTGATTAAGGGTCCAAATTTACAGATGGATTTAGCACTCTCAAATATCCGTAAATATTATTATTTTATCCTAGTAAATATCATAAAAAGAATTTATCGGTCTCGAATTGAAAGATTGAGGGTGCTAATGATTCCAGGCGATATTCGATGGTTGATTGAAGCAAAAGTTCGATTGTCGGGAGAGTTTTCAAATTCATACAAATATATGTCAGGTATGGGTAAGAGTACTTTTGCAAAGAAACGAAGAGCAAAATGATTAGGTGGATGCTTCAAATGCGCTCGATGGACTTGTGACACACGATGTAAATCAGTGGGGTTCGTGTCCAAAAATCGAGAAGATAAAATAACATTTATCAAGGATGGATTGAGTAAGGAGTCTATGGATCAAACGATTCACCAGATTCTTGAGACACATCCTAGTGGGTATGTGCATCGTGAGCTTCTGTTTATATGGATTCGTTTCAAAAATGAAGAAGAACGTTATAGTCTCGAAAATATTGTTTCAAAAGATCAAGTTTGTAAAACTGGTTTTGTTTATTACGAAAATTAATACTAATGAAGTTTAGTAGTTGCACTGTAATTTTCAGAAAATCTTCTAGCTGCCGACAGATAAGATTTATTTAAAATTCCACGCCTTATTTGTCAGTTGCAATTGTCAGAAGAAAACAGTAAAATTATTTTATCGTTTTGTAAAACTTTCCTTTTAAATAGCGAGTCGCTGATTATAATCTTATGCCTCTCAAAAAATTAAGTTTATCAATAAGTACAAGGATGTTTCAGAGTCTTTGCAAGGTAATCAATTTTCTTCAACCGATCAAAACTATATGTGTTCTTGGTGGTTCTAGACTGGTAAGTTTTTCTCAAAATATTGATATTGTAAGTCAGTTAGTAAGGGATGTGGGAAATCAAAAAATCAATTTACTGTATGGAGGGACTAGCATCACTTTCTTTGATAATCTTTTATTGGTTGGAAAATGTTTTGAGATAGAAGTGAAAAGTATCATACCTTTTCATAGAGCTTCAACAAGGGTCGTCAAGGATTCCATATGCATGATGCTAACTCATTCTATTTGTGATTGTTTGATGAATATGGTGAACAAGGGTGACGCTTTTATCATTCTTCCAGGCGGTTATGGAACTCTAATGACAATGTTCACCCTTGCTTCTTGGGTAGAATTAAAACTTCATAACAAGCCCATAGGTCTACTGAATTTTAATAACTTTTTTCATGGTTTGGTTGGATTTTTAGACCAAGGAGTATATCAAACCTTTATATCTCCTCCAACGAGAGAAGTATTCAAATCTGCAGATACGTCTGCTGAGCTTATAAAAAATTTTCAAGAATGAATCACATTTCAAAATTCTGTGGAAACACAAGGGGTCAAGCGAAAAAGAGCTTTTAATCCTTTAGATCTCTCATTATGAACTCAGATGATAATAATGGGTGGCAGAGTTACGGAGTTTTATATTCTCGAGACGCACCCTTCTTTATGGGTTCTATTATGTAATATTTGCGTATTTCGTATTTATCGAGTATGTACTTCCTCTTCTCCATATTTCCACCATATGAACTTTTTGTACTTGTTTCTCATTAATAATAATACCAATTTCGCTTTTCCACAAGATGTGTGTAGTGTTTCATGACTACAATTATTGTCATGTGTGC